GGTTGGTGAAGGCCCACCTCTTTAATCTGCTGGGGTCTCTCTGCAGGGCCTCTCTACCTTTGAGAGAGTCAACAGCTCCTCCCAGATTTCCATCATCTGGGAACTTAATTAGTGTGCCTTCCAGTCCTGAGTCCAAGTCATTTATGAAGATGTCAAAGAGCACAGGGCAGAAGATGGAGCCCTGGGGAACCCCACTTGTGACACATCCCCAGTCTGATGTCACCCCAGTCACTGTAACCCTTTGTGTCTGACCCATGAGCCAGTTGCTCACCCATCACAGGATGTGTTTRTCCAGCTCTGGACTGGACGTTATATGTACTACCCATTTTTATATATCCACACTGTACATAAGGTACAAGTACATAGTAAGGTACTTGATTGTTACTGTGTGATACACTTGTAAATTCCCATTCCAGGTCTGATTCCTATCTTAAAACATTTTGACCCTTTTGTTTGGAAGAAGGAAACAAAATGAGAATTGAGAAGCTGAGTCTAACTTCCAGTTTTTAATAGCCTAATAGTGCTTTTAGATCTCTGATAGAAAGATTCAGGTGCAAATTTCAGAAAATGGCTTTTACATTTATCTAGGTTCTGTCAAATTGCCACCATTACAATAACCCAGAAATACCAACATTTGCCAGAATAGCTCCTATCATGAATATCTAATGAGGAACTATCAATATTGATCACTTTTCTCTCTTCTTTAATTACAGCTCCTGTGAAGAATCTTAGAACATTACCTAAACATGACAAGTTGTGGGTAGGATGGACTGCTCCCAACAGTTATGTTGTTAAATATGTAATTGAATGGTGTCTGGTGTCCAGCTGCTCAGACTGCATCATAGAGTGGCAGATTGCACCAGGAGATGTTCAAGGAATAGACTTAAAAGGTATTAAGCTCATAAATCTACATATAGTTTGTAGGACATTCTAAAAACCTGCTTAGTATCCTGAAGATGAGGAACATCCTCAGAGTGATTAGAATTTTATGGCAGGATGAGGGTTTAATGCTTAGGGTTTTAATTAGTTTATTGTGAGTGTATGGAAGTATTTGTGTGTTTTTGTCAAATCTACAACTGTGTCTGATTTTGCATGTATAAATTTATATTATGTAACAGAGGGTTTAGCTGCATTTTGGTTTTAGTCATGTCATTCTTGGAAACTATTAAAATAGTGAAGAGGCTGAATTCTTTCAAAACCAAATTCTTTGATCACTCAGTTCAAGCAGTGAAASTTGCTCTTTTGAGATTATGATCAGTATCTTAAATCAATAATTTTGTGAGTTAATGCTACAGACAAAGAAAGGTTTTTTAAATTTAAAATTAATTAGAAAAATAACCCCTGACTTCTCTGAAGTCTTTTTATTAAATTTTATGTTTGAAAGTAAACCATTATATTGTTCCTTCAGTTAATATTTTGGACTAGTACATCAATGAGCTCTAGAAAATACTCAGCTGTATTAGATACAAGTGCACAGAGTTAAACAGCCAAAACTCACAAGCCTGTATCTGAAGTAAATGAGGAGGCTGGTGAGCAATTTGACTGTCTGTGAAACAACACATTTTAAATTCCTTTTATTAGGTATAAAGCCATTCAAGTGTTACTTGATTACTGTGTACCCTCTGTATGCTGATGGTCAGGGAAGTGGACAGTCTGTGAAGGCTTATCTTAAGCAAGATCGTAAGTACAAAATCATCACCTTGAAGCACATATGCTGACCTTTGTGACAAAAGAGAGCAAAACCTTTGCTTTAGTGAGGACTGTGTAATGCAAAATGGTTTAATGCTTGAGGGTCGGGTGACATCATTGATCTTTTTTCTGCTATTAACATCCATTCTGTTTGTTTACAGYATTTGGGAGGTAAACTGATGTCTGTGGCTGGCTCTTTGTTTTTTCCAACCTTTATCAGATAATTTGACGTGAATTTGTTATTTTATTGGTATGGTAATATTTATATGCCGATTTATTTTAAATTTCAAGTATAAAATCAGGACTTACTTCAGTTGAAGCTTTCCTGCAACATGCTGATTTTTCTCTTTATATCTGTTTTCTGAATATTTCTTTTTTAAATGTTTTTRTAGTTTTTATACTGTCTGAAAACGGTGTTTTCCAGATGAATTAGTCAAATTATTCCATTTARTTTTTATGCTGTAACAGTTCAGTGCTTGTTAATATGCTGCTTCTGTGGATGCAGGGGTACCAAGCAGAAACTAATCTTCATCTCCTCTTACAGGTCCTTCAAAAGGACCTATCGTTCAGACAAAGAAAGTAGGAAAAGCTGAAGCTGTTTTGACATGGAATCATCTCACAGTTGATGAACAAAATGGATTTATCCGAAATTACACAATAATTTACAAAACAATTGATGGAAATGAAACAGGTACCAGAAAATAGAAAAGTGTTTAAGTGTTTCATGTGTCTCCTTCCTAATATTTGTTCCTGAAAAATACACAGAATCAGTTAGAGCTGACAACCTGTTCTTAGAACATAAAGCTGGTGTCTGAGCCATAATTCTCCATGTAGAGAAACAGAAGTTCCTGGTAAAGCATTGAAAACATTCAGTCTGTGTATAGCAGGGTACTGAGTTTATTTTCTGAAAGCTGATTTGTGAGTATTGTGCTCCCATGTTTCTCTCTGATTACAGAATGAGATAGTAGTATATCAAGATGATGTCAGACTAGTCAAGATACAAAAGGAGTTGACTGTGTTTTAACTATGATAAAATGTTTTAARAAAGAAGTGGAATTTTTTAATCCACTGGAGCTATAGATCAATATAGTAGTGTTGTAAATCATCTTGTGTGAAGTGTGTCTGACTTTTCAATAGTGTGTGTGACCTAGAGGTGTACAACAGTGAGCTAGCGCTATCAAAACTTTAATTTTTAGATTTGCTTAAATTTGAAGGGTCAGGTACTTATGCATGCTCTATGTCTTACTATGTCTTACCATGTTTTTTCCCTAGCCAGTATTAACAATTCCTATTTAGCACTATGTATTTGGCTTACTAGACACCTTTAAGCCTCAGCTATACTGCTAGTTAAATTTGTGGGTGCATTCTGGGAAAAAAAAAAATCTCACAGGAAATTAAATATAAAGACTAAATCCAAGCAGATATACAGGACAAATGAATCTCAGCATTTTTTGTAAAAGTTTGTAGTCTTTGTTGTATTTTCCATCGGCTATGCATTCTGTTAAAACTACCTTGAACGTCTGAATCTTGATGTCTTAATTCTGCTGGTTTTGTGGAGATGTAATAAATTGTATGGAAAACTAGTATAAATTTCTTCTTCTCTTTAGTTGTGACAGTGGATCCTTCCAAGACAGAGTATACCCTTTCCCCTCTAACCAGTGACACACTGTATACTGTGAGGATGATGGCATCTACAGATAATGGAAGCAGGAGCGGTCCTGATTTCACATTTACTACACAAAAATTTGGTAAGGTAGCATGGCACAACTGGTAGAAGTAGGAATTAATGGTGCAGCAATACAGTGGGGCTCTGTGAAAGATGTATTAGGAAGGGARTGTGATTTTATTTAAAAGTTTATGTTGCAGTCAACTTGTAATGTGCATGTGATCCAGGTGGTGCTCATTCACAAGGTAGTTTAGGCAGGAGTATACAGAGGAGAAGATACCCACTGCAAGCCTCATGAAATTTTTTATGTTACTATGCTTTTTTGGATGTGTTTTGTATATTATAATATTTCTATTGTAACATTGTATTGCCCTGACTTTTCATGAGTCATTAGGATTTACTCAGTGCCTCTCTTCTGGTGTCCAGTGGCACCTACCCCTAATCAGAGTCTTTGTTTTAATTCTGATAAGGTATCCTAAAGAAGCTGTAGAAAGATGTGCTTGGATCTTGATCTGCTGATGTAGGTAGTAGTTAGCATGTACAGCTCTTTGACTTTCTTTTTCATGCCACTATAAAGATTTGCTACAGTTCTTCACAGAGACTCATTTTGAATAGTTAAATTTACTGTATGTTCAGCTTTAGRCTACTTCTTATACAAAAGGATAAGAGCAGCATTACTAACTGAATTTAACTGTGGAAGACACTTAAATTTAGCAGAGGCTTTTTTCTGCATAGTGTTGCTCTTCCCTAAGTGTTCTCTTAAGGTTTACTTGAGAATGTGTGTAACATTGGAAGGAATGCATAACAATAATGCAAACGTCAGTGTTTGCAAGCAGAGGAGATTTTCATGTACAGAATAAACTGAAGGAACAAGTGGTGAATTTGTTAAGTTTACTAATTTGACCATGGCTGTGTTAGGACAGCCAGCAGGGCACTGAAACACCTGGGCAGCAGATGAATTCACAAAGATGTTACTGTTGTATCTGCCCAAACTGCAAAATTATTTGCTCTGTCAGTACTATAACTTCTGGATCAGACCATGTTTTTTGGTGATGCAAGGTATTAGATTGTCAGGTCAGAGCTTTTCATGTTTTCACCAGGAGGCTCTTTTCATATGGTGAAAAGTTTCTTCTGAATGTAAAGCTTTGAGACTGAATATTGAGGTATTTTAGTTTCAGGTTCTCCATGCCCCTTTGGAAATACATACTGCTGCTGAGTTCCTTAAATGCCAAAGTGGGCTATAACTGCTTCTTTTCACCTTTTTCAGGAAAGGGAGAAATTGAAGCCATAGTTGTACCTGTGTGTCTAGCATTCCTGTTGATTGTGCTCCTTGGGGTTCTGTTTTGCTTCAACAAACGTGACTTGTAAGTACAAATGAACTCTTTTTCTTACATTGSTGAGCGTAACAGAAATGGCAGTAATTTTTGCCAAACAAGTTAAGTATTCTACACTTAGATCCAAGAAAAAGTTAAAACATGCATATATTGATTGGTGTTAAAAACTACTGTTTTCCTTGAGATATCAGGGCCTCTTATGATACTAATTTCTTACTGTTAATTACACACATACCAGAAGTTCCATGATTCAATCCTCTAAGAAAATTTGTGGTTTTCTTACTAGACATGGTTAGGATTAGGTTTGTTAGATTTTGATCAGGATGTAGTGTTTTGTTTTTATCTGTGTTTGTCTGTTTTCTTAGTTGTCCTATGAGTGAGTGATGGTCCCTAGTTTGTGAAGCACAGGAAATCTCTTCACTGTGTTTGGGCTATTTAATTACAGTATTAACTGTAAACGTTAAGATTTATGGCCAAAAAAATTAGGCACTCATCTTGATCTCCAGTAACTCTGTGCCTGTTTACTGTCTACTGGGAAGCAACCTGCCTCCTCCTGCTCCCCTACCCCAGTGCTTTTGTCTGTGACTTTAACCAAGAAGTCTTTGCTATAGTGTCTCCTCTGGCAAGGTGTAGAGGAGCACCTCTCCTTTGTCCCCCGTCAACTGTCCTTTCTTTATAATTAAAGGCAGCATTTTATGCCCTCCCTGCTGCTGCTGAAATTAGTTCTTTGTGGACATCAGTTGGAGCGTTCATCTTGCATTTTTCTTCATAGTTCTCCTACAGCAGATCTCTTGCTGAAGCCTGTTTTAAAGAGCAAGATGGGTGCCATCAGTTGCAAAGCTGGTTTGGTTGGGGGTGGTGTATCAACAGAAGCTTCTAAGTAATAGTATAGTCTGAAGAGTTACAAAGCGAGTTTTTTTCCAAATATTTTGGCTTTAACTGTGAAGTTAACTTAGATTTTGACCTTTGGTGTTCCTAGTTATCTTAAAAAGAACAGGATAGTATTTTCATACTGGCATGCATCATAAATTCTGCCTAAGAGCTCTGTAAATTCTAGAGTGCTGTAAATTTGAAAATCCCTCCCTGTTACCATTTATTATTTTGCCTTACATTGATAGCTGCRTCCAGTGTGTGGAGAAGTTAAGTGCACTGCTGTGTTTTGCTAAGTAGTACAGCCTCACAAAGATAAAAAGTAGCCCAGAAACATTCTTATTTTGAATGCAAAATTTCTCTGTAACAGATTGATATCCTGGATTCTGCTGTAGTTCTCATGAACAATTTGGGGTGTGCATCTTGTGACTTTATTCTGTTTTTAATTCTTTACAGAATTAAAAAACATATCTGGCCTATTGTACCTGATCCATCCAAGAGCAACATTGCTCAGTGGTCTCCTCAGGTTCCAGCTAAGGTAATACTTGCCTTTCTGTATCCTGTATCTTCCTAATCCACAAAGTTTCAGATAAACTAACTAGTGAGAGTCTTCTGTCTTCTAGCACACACAGATTTCAAGGAAAAACCTGAATATCAAGTTTCATTGACATTGTGATCCAATATGGTTAGAACACTTCATTGCATCAGTAGATTCATGTCCCTTAGCACGAATTCACAGTCTGGTATGGGCTTTAAAGTTGTGAATTAGATTCAGTTTACTAGTTAGGAGGGTCAAGTACTCAATTCTTTTCTCATTCATGGGAAATCAGGATTAAGTAAACAATTCATGGTTCCCATTCTTGAATCCCTGAAGTGACTTGTTTGCACAGTTCAGTCATGAATGAGAGAAAGATCTCTAAACAGTTCTTCATGAATGAGCAGGTGGCAGCAAAATTTATGCCCCATGTGGGGTAAATGATCAGTCAAATTCTGTTCAGCAAATTGTGGTTAATTTCTCTGAAGCAGTACTGTGTTGTTGAATACATTATTTGAAGTAATGTTTGGTTCTCTGTACAGAATGTGTCTGTGCTGCACAGCAAATGGTTCTATATTATAACTCATAAGAATAATTAAAACGAGAGCAAAGACTTGCTCACACATCCCACTATGATTTTACAATTGCTCTATGATTAAGACTCAGTATTAGAAACAAAGCTCTATCCTTTATTTTTAACACATCCTTTGGAGATATTGCCAGARTTAGTAAAGAGAAAACTTGTATTAAAAAATTCAAAGGCATTACAGAATAAAAATTCAGACATTTAATGAAGCTTTTGATTTTTAACATAACCTTCCTCTTAGGCGACATGCATCTCTTTCTTTCAGCATAACTTTAATTCCAAAGATCAGATGTACCCAGAAGGCAGCTTTACAGATGTAAGCGTCGTAGAAATAGAAGCTGATGACAAGAAGTCTTTTTCAGAACAAGATCTAAAACCCTTTGACTTGCTTAAAAAAGAAAAAAGTACTTCAGAAGGGCACAGCAGTGGTATTGGAGGATCCTCGTGCATGTCTTCTCCTAGGCAAAGYGTCTCTGACAGTGATGAAGGTGAAACCACACAGAACACTTCGAGCACTGTGCAATATTCAACTGTAGTACTTAATGGCTACAGAGACCAGACACCTGTACAAGTCTTTTCAAGGTCTGAGTCAACTCAGCCACTGCTAGATTCAGAAGAGAGATCAGAGGATCATGCTGGAGGAGCTGACACTACAGCACAGAGGCAGCAGTATTTCAGACAAAATGGTGGTCAGGATGAAACCAACACAGACAGGCCATGCTTTGAAAGAGCAAAGCAAATTACTCATGCTAATGAGGGGGATCTTGTTGGATTTCTTCAACTGCAGATCTCAGGTCAGAGTTCACAGCCATTGGGCCTTGGGATRGAAAAAAATACCCAGGAAGCTGCTCTATCAAATGTTTTACAGACAAGTACTGAAGGACAAACTGTGCGACCTGAAACAGTGGAAGAGAATCGGCTGTCAGTTGATGAAATGCCAAAAAGTTACCTCCCACAAACTGTGAGACAAGGGGGCTATATGCCTCAGTGAGAGAAGAGACTGGCTCTGTTTAGGCCTTCATTAGTGCCTRTTCACATGTTCCCCTGTGTTTCTGATAAACTAAGCTAGATATTTTTATCTGACTGCAGATAGAAATACTGAAATCAAGTGAAGAGTAATTTGATAAAATACAACAAGGACTGTTTTTGTGGAAAATTTCCAGTTGAGACTTACTGGAGATTTACCTTTATGCACTACATAAAATCTTATATCTGGATAGCTGAACAAGCCTTTTGCTACTTTCGGGGGGTTTGTGTCTTTTCATAACAGAATTTCACATGATTGAAAAGGGCAAGTTTTAAATATCCACATAGCCAACAGACCTTCTAGAAGAAATACATTGCTGGGTGACAGTGTACAAGCCTAAAAAGCCAGCTCGAGCTGCACAGTGCAGATTTGTGCAAAAGTAAGACTGAAGCATAGTATTCTGATRTGGAAGAATACTTGTGTGATACACTTTTCAGTAACTTGATTGACTTAGTGAATTTTGACTTGGCCCAGTGCCTCAATTTTCAGCTTAACAGGCTTGCAAATCATGTGATCCCTGTTTTTTTTTTAAATCCCTGTTAAAAAAAACCATAAAAAATTAAATAGAACTTGCTATGGTGTACAAATAGGAAAACACCAAGATTGCTTGAATCTGAATGCTACTGTAGTAATTGATACTTTACCTACATTTAGATATGTGTACAACATGAATTATGGAGTAATTTGGCCTAAAAAACRTGCCTTGCAACTTGACGCACAGCAATTCAGTCTTGTATTCAAAAGTTTGGAAATCAGATGACAACGCAGATCAACAGTTATTTAGAGGCTTTGTACCCCAATCACTGATTATATGATACCTCTGTRGTCATATATGCCTTTGTTTAATAAGTGCACCTTTGCTGTGTACAGCTTGCCAGGCAAGTAACAAGCTGTAAGCTTTTACCATTTTTCTAACTGCTCAGGAGAAAGGKAATATGACCTTCCTCCTAACAGACTGCAATTGTTAGTGTGTTGTAACATTACTGCTAGTACTGCAGGACATCCTTGAAACTGAAAACAGCCAAAGCATCAAAGTCATTGACGTCTTTGAACTAAAACCAACAACTGTACTCTGAATTTGAACTTTGCTGGTAGAATGTATTTATTAGTAATTAGGAGCCCCAAAAAACACTCAAGTGGTTGTTGAAATTCCTTACTTTTTTCTCAATGAATCACTTTATCCTGCTCATACAGTTTACATTTTTTGAAGAAGCTACATTTCTTGGAAACTGCCTCAAGCAGTGTTTAAGGAAAAATTAAATTGCATGACAAAATACCCCTTCTCCAATGATAACCAGAAATCTTATGGCACTCTTAAAGATTTTTTAAATTAATTTTTAACCTAACTCAGGCTAGTCAGCTTTCTAATCTGACACTAATAAGGCTTTTATTTCAAAACACTAAGTGCTGTTTTGTGAGACTAAAGCAAGTGTTTTATTTCTCCTTCAGCAAAATAACTATGTATTTAAGACCACCTGAAASCTTTTATGCTGTGACCTGTGGTACTGCTGTTCTGCAGAGCATTTGCTAAAAGCCCTTGAAAGGCAGATGTCAGTATCATTTCATCTTCTCTTGTCTGCCAGCTTGCACGGAAGGATGGATATCCATGTAAATGTCCACATGTGTCTTTTGCTTTTGTTACAAAGAAATTAGTGCAAGAGTAAATTCATAAAATGACCTCTTGAAGTCTGGAATATCTTAAAACAGATAAAAAATGTAGAATCTTTGATAACATTTCAGTATTTCACAGTCTCTTTCTCCTAACAGTATTTTTCTGTATCTAGGCACTTTTTTTAAACTAAAAGATTATGTTGCAGCTTACTATAATTACACCTTTCTTCAGAGGAGTCCTCTTCCTTTTCACCCCACTGCACCTCAGCACCTTCAGATACCCTCCATTATGTCAGAGGGCGAAGGCATAATGAAAACCATGCTCTCATGAGACAGCAGAGACCATCTTTCATTTTTCRGAGGCTGAAGGAGCATTCCTTTTTCAGAACACATTCCTCTTGAAAAAAATAGCAGTTACATTACTGGGGGATGGGTTGTCTTCTCTATGCAAACTTCATTGTGATTGTAAAAATCACAAATAAAAGGGAAAGTCTCTGCTGGGCAGTGTGCATGCTTATTAGAGCTGCCCAGCAGCCAGATGCATTTAATCCATCTTCTCATCTCTGAAATATAGGCCACAATCTGGCTATGTAGTTTAAAAATTGCTGCAAAGGTCTGGATGTTTTCAAAAACATGCTGATGAATTTTTAAATTATGTTTTTGTGATTCAGTAATATTAACTTTTGATAGCRTATGTTATTTGAGGGAGAATGTCAGTTATTCTTTAAGTTGCTATTGCCTTTCTGTTGTGTGAAGGGAAAGCATCTTTTTCTCAGTTGCTGTTAATCATGGACCACTCAACACTTTAGTGTTTAAAAGCATCAAAAGATTCTGATTTTTTAAAGTCTGTGCTGATAAGAGTTCTGGCCTGTCACTTCTGGCATCTTTCATTGTTGTTTATGGGCCAGTGGTAATAAACTCACAGAACTGTGTAGGAGTGGATCCTAGAGAGAGTTCTGGCTGGCTGGCCACGCRCTCTTAGGAGATTTTGCATTTATGTAGGGCTAAAATGCTGAAGACTAAGCAGGAGCTCCTGGTGGGTGAACAGCTTGTAGAAGCCACAATACATATAAATAACAGGTATACAGCTAGTTCATAAACCTATGTGCCAAATATATMGTACAGTGTTCAGGGTTTAACAAGATTTTGTACTTTGGACTGTAAAAATCTAATTGTATCAAACAGTTGCTTACAGGTTTTTAACAGTATCTGTACTGTRATTAGAGCAATCCACTAAAATTTTCTGAGCTTGGCCCTAACACAGTAATTAAAAAGTTTTCTCCTTCCCACCCCCTCYTCACCAATGGCTATGGTGCACATAACAAAGGCATTATTAAAGTCACATTTCAGTACAGACATTTTCGTGTCCATCTTGATTGCCTGGACTGGACTTTTTCAGGTATAGGTGGAAGAGTAGTTGTAAGGACTGTTAATTTGGTGGCAGGGAAGTGAGACTAGTGGAAATATATTAGCATATTTGAAAAACCTCTTAAATGCAGACTGACTAATGCTCCTCTGTTTACAAGAGAAGTGAATATATTATCTTCCTGGTTCTGTTAGACCAGAGATTATGTAATTACAATACATTAGATTTGTGTTGTTTTCTGGAGTGTATTGGCTCACATTAAGGGCAGATAGCCTAGGAATATCTCTCCCACTGTAGTGAAAGTTTTGGGTTTTTTTCATAATATCCTACTGTAGAAAACTAAGTTGCATGTTAAGCTTTAACATGGCAGCACAAGCACATCAGAGCAAAAAAAAACAAACTAACTTTGTTCTGGAGAGTTTATGACAAGTATGTGCTTGTCTTTGGTACAGGAGCCTAGAGAAACTGGAAAACACCTTGGCCCTGGGTGGATGAGGGAGTTTAATTTGGGTTGAGTCCCATTCTTGGGCACTGAAGAATACCTGGCACCTGGGTGGGGCTTGGAGCTTTAGCTTTGACTGTAAATCATGAGCTTTGTCAGATGGTTAAAACTTACATCAATATGCCCTATAAGTGGGGATCACAATGCTGGTTTAAATTCAGTGATTGATCTTCTTTAATTAGTGCCCGATCTCAAATACCTAAAACCCACATTGGTGTATGCCGCTATGGAATGGACTTCTCAGTGGGATCTGAAACTGCAAAGGCTCTCAGATTGTTAATAGTCTGTCCCACTCCAGGATGTACATATTTTACATTGTAATTTATGTGCMTTAAATGGGACTAAATACACAAATTTATTTTCCCCATTAGGCAGTGTTTGTAGTTGAGATTAACTGTTATTTGGATGCATTCCTTTAACTGTGTTATAAAGTTCCCTTGACTGATCGACTGTAAATTCATTTATTCCTGTAATCTTTTGTCTGTCTGCAAGGATGGATACATASAGCCATTTTAAATTCCAGGAGTTGCTTTTAATGTTCTTCAGGAGAAGTTTCTGTAAAAATGTTGAGTCTTTTGTCATTGAACAGCTGTTAGGGAATTGCAGCCAACCCGAGTCTTCAGCTTTGCTTTTGATCCAGAAAACTGTAGTGAAGTGGAGGGATAAGTGCAAAAGTGTGGAGGAGGTTGAAATTAAGTATCTTGCATTGGACTCATAAATTTTCATTTCTCTTCCTTTAAAGTGAAAGCATCAGTAAAACAAACAGAAAAAAAAAGCTAAAATTCATGTGTATTTGCTTTCACTGTCGTTTCTTTTGTAGGAGTTGTGCAATCTGAGCCATTCTTGAAAATAAAAGCAGTGCTGACTTAATGCAYAAGGATGCATTTCTAAGGCCACAAGATTTGATAAAACAAACCATAAAACAGTAATGAAGGGCCAGATTTCAACAGCTGTCTGCTTCCCTCCACCTCTTAACTGTATTTAAGAGAGGGTGGGTGGCAAGTACCTTCCAGAATGCAGCCTTAGCCAGTACTTGTATTTATTTGCAAAGACAACCTGAAGGGGATACATGCAATAATGACATTGCTACTCTGCAGAAGCACACTTCTGTAACAATAGATGAAAAACACTTATGGCACAACTGTTGACTGATGGCTGGAAAGCTCCACATCCACATCCTCCTGCTCAGACTAAAGTGTCAGCTGTTCTTCTCCGGGCGTGGCAGGTGGGCATTCTCTGCAGAGTGGAAACTGGTAACACCTATTATTTTTCATCATCAAAGCACATTTGTTAAAGGATCCAGTCAACTTGCCGTGGTTTTTTTAACACACCAGTTTTGTTTACAGTGTCACATATAGCCTGACACTTTGATACAGCCAGGGATTGTCTAGTAACCAATTGCTTTTTTTTGGGGATAAGTTACTGGTCACCCAGTTGCTGTGCCAATATATGCATCTAGGTAAGTGGAGGTGTGCGTCATAGGAACAGATGTACCAACAAGGAAAGTGCCTTGATGCTGATTGGATGGCTAGTGAATGTAAACATTAAGTTAAATTTTGCTATGTACTTAAAGTAAGTATGGCTGATTAAGCTAGTGRTAATTTGAATGCCAGCTTTAAAGGGCTTGTGTACTCTGGCCAGACGTTAAACTTGTAAAWTGCTGCATAAGCTGTCTCTGTATGGAAATGTGTTTTAATACCTGTTCACTGTCTTTATTCTTTYGCAAGCTGCATGTG